CCATATGGCCCGTGATAGATTTTAAGTGAGTCGGATAGTCCGTTAGTTTGTTCATGCTCAGTTCATGTATAGATAACGACAAAGACGACGATCTCGGATTTCTCGGCAGGTCGGGCGTCTATGGATCTTCTTCGTGAGGAAGACGTTTGGTAGGAGACTTATCCGGATTGTTTTAGATTGTATATAGCTACTTCAGGTCTGACCAAGTCGTCTCCAGTTGACATACCGTGTTTCTGATAGAATCCTATTCCGGAAGGATACGAACCTTTTGCATCTTTACTGAAGGTGTGAACTTCTATCTCTTGACTCTGCCTTACTCATTTTGCTTCCAGATTTCTTCCCAGATGAATAGAAAGAGGTAATCAGGAACTAGCTAGTAATAATGGTCTGTTGGATCTGGAATATTATCACACTGAGTAGCACGCACACTGGAGGTTAGTTTCTCCCTTTTCCGACTCGAATTTGTACCTTTTGCCTGGAACTACAGTTTCTCCTAGAGTTGAAGACTTCAGGACCGACTGGTACCTCGATGATGCACGGAAGTGGTATAGATGCTCTCAGAATGCTCAAGGTAGTTCATAATTGATTCTTTTTCTACAGACAGTGAACTTTGAATCCCTCAATTGAACTCAGTCATTCCACTGATAGGAGAATGGCTTCGAATCGTGAAACTCCTACGGCATTATCTCACTCGAAGATCTAGTCGGAGACGGAACCTAGTGCTTGCATGTGAATAAATATTTTGTGTGTGTTGGGGGCGGGGGAAGGGTAAATCTGATGCTCCGGATTGGTCAGAAAATTCGTNGGATTGAGAAATTTTTCTTCATCAGAGGAACCCAGGCTTTATGAGGTTTTGCTGTCACGAATCCATGTTTGGGATGGCGAAGTGAAACAGTTCGATTCAGTTGAAATAAATATTTTGTTTCTGTTCGTTCCTCTCGTTGTAAGATGGTTGAAGCCATTGTTATTGCTTGTTTTGAATTGAAGAAGCTTATACTCAGGAACTATGTTACTCACAGGTTATTCTCTTAATCACATGCCACGGAAAT